TCTGTTTTTTTCTTTCTGCTGTTTTCATCCACTGTATTATTGTGGTGGATCATGCTCAGGAGGACAACAGCCATTCCTTCCTTTCTGACATAGTTGGCCATGGTAATGCTGGCATTGAATCCAAACTCTGTCCCTGGACTTGGAAGCCTTCATCAGAGGGGATGTCTGGCTTGTTCTGTCTTAGAGTCCCCACAATAGTGAGATCTATTTCCAGGCACACTGTTGAAAAAGTTATGTTTGGTGTGGCGACCTGTGCTTCTGAATCTACTGCACAACTGCCGGACAATGTTTTCCCCCAGATTCTTCTGAACTTCTTCCCCTGGTTGTCTCCCTGTGCAAACAATCCCATCTACTGCGTATGGGATGTATGCATCAGGTCATAATCTTCCTGTTCGGTGACACTTCTGACATAGGGTGTGTGGTCCATAGTAAATAAATCCCTGACAGCCATTGATAAGAAACACAGGTTCCCATGAAACTGTATGGGAAATGCATGTGGGTCATGTTTGACCCACTTATGGAAGCTTGGGGTAGTAATACAAATATTACAATTTCTTAAAAAGTATAACAGGTAACTTAAATTTTTTTATGGAATGATATAAAAAACATGTTATTTGAGGAATACCTGGAATATGAAGCGATAAAAACTTTTCATTACAAAGATATTGCAAGAAAACGACCTCACTGGGTCATAGTTGACCCACTTGTGCATCCTAGGGTTAATTGTATTTCCTCTGAAAAACAGGACAAAAAAGAAACAACCTCAATTTAGTCATAGTTTAAGACAGCCGGTTTGAAACATACGAGGTAAAACAGGACTTGAGTTATGTCTTATGAGGAGAGGTTATCTGAGCTGAATCTGTTCAGTCTCGCGCAAAGGAGATTAAGGGGGGACATAATTCAGGTATATAAGATTCTAACAGGTCTGGATGCTGTTCAGCCAAATGGCTACACAGCGTGTAGTTAGAGTATGGAATAGTCTTCCTGTTCAAGTAGTGCAGGCTTAAACCCTGGGTTCCTTTAAATCAGCACTAGATAAAATTTTAACAACTCTGAGCTATTAGTTAAGTTCTCCCCAAACGAGCATGATGGGCCGAATGGCCTCTCATTTGTAAATTTCTTATGTTCTTATGACAGCTGACCCTTGTAATCTATCCAATTACTGACAATAAGGTATAAAAATAATCTTATTTATGAACTGGTATGCAAACATCAGTAAGCATGCCTCTAAACATACTGCAAAATGAATGTGCAGAAGGTGCCAACACACGTTTTCATTATATCAACCAAAATTTTAATTTTTGTTTTGATTGAACTATTTAATAAAGTCAGCAACTGACTTTACATATGTTAAACAGTTGCTATACATTGGATAAGTGAAGAATTAAACCTTAAAAAATAATGTTATACTTATAAAGCTAAAACAATATGCATTATATGTTTGAAATTAAAATGAATGGTATTTAATTGAACAGCATGGAGGCTAATAGCTCTAGGGCTGAGGGTTTGAATCTGGCCTCTGCTGTAGGTGAATTTGCACGTTCCTCTTGTACTGCGCGAGTTTCCTCCCACAATCCAAGAATCTCTAAATTTTCCCTAGGGTGTCTGTGTCTTGTAATAGACTGGCATCCTCTACCCTATTCCGCTTTGGACTGACCCCGTTACCCAGACCAGGATTAGCAACTGACCCCTTGAACAAATAAGCTATGAATAACATTGATTAAACCGAAATACAATTTTTTCTAAATTAAATCATATATTTTCCTAATTATGTCATACAAGGAATCAAATTAAAGGAAGCGTATTGTGTAGGGAAACTGCAGAAGTAACAAAATTCCTCATCCAATACAGTATGTACGATTTGATTATAATCTGGTTCAGTCAATGGGTCAAAAAAAAAAAAAAGTGTAGCGCTCAGTTTTCATGATAGTTAAAGAGGAAGCAAACATAGTACCAAAATATTGTTTTAATGGAAAAATTGGCAGCAAGTTAATATGTACATAGCAGATTCTGCGCACTTTCACTATTACAGGAAAATCCAGAGTAAATTTCTTTGTGGCCAGTCTGTTAACTGCAATTATGAGTCTCCAAAAGGAAAAAAAAAAATCTAAAATGTTAAAACAAGTTAAAAAAAATACATAAATAATATGCAAAAAAATATTAATGAGCATTGCCAGAAGTAAAATATCTACATGGGTGAAAAATTCTTATGAAGTAAGACTGATTTTACTGGACATGACAGTTTTCTTCCTGCTTTGTTAATGCCATGTCCTGCCTACGTTTCTCTCTCTGTTCAGGAGTCCTCTTGATGCTGAGGGACCTCCTACTCTTTTGGTCCTCCTTGTTCACCACGGGACTGTCAAAGATGACAATTTTAGGACTGTTGGTCAGAGAAGCAAGAACTCCAGATGTAGACCTGGCAGGGCTTTGAAGTGGTTTGGTCTCTTGAAGCTGCAAAGGAGAGATTAACTGTCAATGAAACATGAGAAGACAAGGCAGTGCAGAAATGTCAGTGATATAATCCACCAAAACTTGGAAACCAGGTTTAGAACAAAAACATCCCCCCACACACACTATATATAAAATTAAGTTCCAAAAAGAGCAGCTCTAAGTTTGAATGACCATTCAAGTTAACACAGAATGGATATATACTGTATATGCAATATTTCTAGTTTAGAGATGTATGTGCTATGTCATATATACTATTTATCCTTAAATGCCAGTCCCATTGGAAATAAGGCGAATGAAAGCCAGACACTTACTGCTTGTTGGCTGCTGCCCTCTGTTGACTGGGAGACGTAATGCACAGCGGAGTCTGGGGTTTGGCAGCTGTGCAGGGACACAGGGGAATTCTTGGCAGCCAGCCGAGGACTGCACCTCCGCACCACAGTTCTACGCATTATAAACGGGCTGGCCTCCCCCACTGGGATATCTGCAAAGCCTGGAGGGCAGATCCCATGATAAGAATTCCTCAATACATAAATCTTTAATCACAGAGACTGGGCGACCATGAATTTCCACATTTTTTTCTTGCATGATGCGTTTCACTGCAAAAGATACTGCAGCACTGACATTGAAAGCTTACCCTTTTTCACCAGCTCAGGTAAGCCCTCTGGTCTGAACTCCTCCTCGACTTGAGGCTGGCGGGACGCTTGAGGAGTGGCACACGCCCGGATCTTCTTTGAGATGTTGTGGAGGGCCTCTTGTGCCTTACTGGCTTCCTCGTTCTCATCAGGCCCTGGGGCCCTCTGCCTCTTCCCCGACACTTGACCATCCTGTTTTCTCCCTGCCTCCTCTTCCTTTTGGGTGGTGGTGATTGTTGGGTTCTGGGAAGTCTTTGATGTAGATCTTCTGCTTTTAGAAGCCAATTGGCTGGTGAGGTGTGATACCTGGTTCTGCAGGGTCTCATTGGCCTCCTCCAGCTTGTGCAGGCTCACCAAGAGGCTGCAGTATTTGTCTGTGCTCTCATCGGCTTCCCTGGTTCGCTCCTCCAAAGCCCCTTTTAACTCCTGAATCTCCATCTGCAACTTCTGCATGCTGTTGCTGCTGCTGCTTTCCTCTCCTGTGATGAGTACAAAAGGACATTTAGATGCCAGGGCTTTGGACAAATCAAGGATAACCAACAACTTCTTCAGTTATTTGGCCTGTTTGGTGCTCATTAAACATTACATACTAGGTCAACAAGTACCTTGTTTTTCTTTAGACTGAAGTGTTGTGATGAGCGACCCCTGCTGTTCATTTTCCACCAAGAGCAATTGCTTCTCTTTCTCCAGCTGCTTGCAAGATTTCATCCAGAGGGCAAGCTTACTGTGTGCAGAATCTTTCTCCTTGGAAAGCTGGGTGACCTTCTGGGAAAGCTCATCGACCTTTGTCTTTATATATATATATATAAATATAAAAAGACAATGGTAAACCATACTGCACTATATAAATTCCATTTTACATAAATAGGATAAATCAGAACACTGCAGAGTGCTTTCAACAAATCAATAAATATCACATCAAATAGCAAAATCTGCCAGACCAGTTAAGAGACTTGGATTAATACCATAAGAGCAGTAATCGGGTACCTTAGCAGCTTACTGAGAAAGGCTGACTGCATATTTCGAACATTGATTTCTTCTCGCAATTACATGGGCCAGCCAATTAAGCAAATACACTTCAAACAATAACAGTGTAAACTATTGTGAAGCACACTTGGACAAACTGTCATTATGAGTGCACACACAGAATCTGGGAACACATTGTTAGCTAGATGAAAAATTCTTGACCTTCATTCTTTCAACTGCTTATCCAGTACAGGGCTGTGAGTTTTACAGGATATTCACATTAAAAATAATGCTTTGTTTTTATTTGAGAAAGCAAAAGTTTCAAGCTCTACGACCCCTGCTGCATGACAAGAAAGTGAAACAGCACTTAATGGGAGCTATATGCACACAGAAACTTGCCAGCGACATCAATTTTATTGATTCACCAAGTGGTTATGTGGCGTCTGCACACTGATTCCCTCTGCAATATATTTTTAGTATCTTCTGTCTTTCAAAATACTTGTTTACCCATGTACTTCTAAATATAGTCTGAACTACATCTTCTGCATTGTCGGCTCATTACCTTCAACTTGTCTTGCTGCTCCAGCCAGCTCTGCATCTCCCTTAGCGCAGAACTGAGCTCCTCTTTACTACACTTCAGGCTACCGATCTCAGTCAGATACTCGGTTGCCTTCCCCTCAGCAGTAATTAAGTCTTTCTTCAAGGCTTCAAATTCAGACTGATGCTGTGCAAAAGACAATGTGATGTTTCAAGCAGAGGAAATAAACTAGTTTACTATTAACTTATGCTATAGCTCATAACTGAAGTACTAATGTTAAGACTCCGAATAGTACCAGGTTTAACAGTAATAGCACAGAATGTTTCCAAAGTTCTCAGGCCCATGAATAGTTACTGTGTTAAACATCATGGACTTGCCTGCTGAATTTGTTTCTGTAGCTCCTGCTGAACTGTATCCTTCTTCTTGAGATCAAGCTCAAGGCTCTCCTTGATACGCATCAGCTCCTCCTTTTCAGAAGACAGGTTCTCCGAGGTTAACTGCAAGGAAAAAAACACAGGGGTGTGAGCAAGTGCTACATGTAAGTGACCCTGAGAATAACCGAATGAAAAAGAATTTCTTTATTGTCATTGTACTGGTATATACAACAAAACCAAAGTCGGAAAGTGCTGTGTTGACCAGATGGCAGGGTGCTTACCTTGAAGCTCTCTATCTGCTGTTCTGTACTCTGTTGCTGAATACTATGACTGTGGCGTTCCATCTCTAAAGCCATCCGCAATTCTTCTGCACTGCTCAAAGCTGAAGTGATTTCACTCTGCAGCTTCAAGTTGTCTTTATTTAACACATCAACCTGATGGAAAAAAAGATTATTAAGACCACACAGTTCATTGCGCCATCCAACATTAGAAACTGTTGTGTAGCTCCTGCTCCAATACTGCTTATACTTATACAGGGTTCTTGCAGGTTTCAGTAAGTTAAATTTAAGACCTATTTAAGACCTTTTAAGACCATTATGAGTAAAATTTAAGACCAACACGATGCATTACTAGAAACATTCGAATACCAGAAATTCTCATATTTTATGTCACTCATATCCTTAGCCCAACATCCACATATCATGTGTTTACAAAGTGTGTTTCAATAAGTTCATAAGAACATAAGAACATGAGAACTATACAAACGAGAGGAGGCCATTCGGCCCATCGAGCTCGCTTGGGGAGAACT